TGATCCCTTTCCAAAGAAGTATTCAGGTATTTGTCTTCAATCTCATTAATTCTGTCTTCCATTGCATCAATTCTACTCCTTTGTCCTTCCAATGTGTCATCTATTTCTGACAATTTAGTATTAACCTTTCAGATTTCTATCTGTAGATTTAGAATTTCTAATTTTTCATTTATTTTGTCATTTTGTTCTTGTATTTTCTTCCAAAATTCTTCTTGGATTTTTCTGTGTTTTCTTTGGTCTGTCTCTCTATTCTTTGAAGATATCTAAATATAATTCTTTTGAATTCCTTATCAGAGACTTTCAATGCTGGTTCTTCCTCAGGGATGTGTTCTGGGTCTGTATCCTGCTCCCTTGTCTTTACCACTTTTTCTTGCTTCTTTGTGTGGACTGTGATGGCCTGTTGTCTCCGAGACATCATGGTATTGTTGTATTTATATCTCTTGTTTGTGAAGAGCAGCCAAAGGTGATTCAGGCTCTTCTTGGTGTTTTTTTTTTGTTTTGTTTTGTTTTTTTAATCATTGTTCCACTGGTGGAGAAGGAGGTGGTGGCTCTCACTCAGTAAGTGAAGGTGGAGGAGATGCGGGTCTAGTCATGTCTTATGGGGACTGTTGTTGTCTCCCACTCAGTTAGACAAAAATTACAATTGAGTAACCATCAAAAAACTAAAAGCACATAGACAAAAAATACACCATGTAATCACACAGGAACAAAAAAAAGAAAAAAAGAAGAAGAAGAAAAAAACAAGAAACCTGCAATATCTGGGGATAGGGCACTAAGAGAAAAAAGGTAGAGAAGGAGAATAATGAAGAAACAAATGGGAAAAATGCAAAAAGAAAAGCAAAGAATGGGGTTAATCATGAGTAAAAAGGTAAAAAAAAAAAGAATTAAAATTTAAAAAAAAAATCTGAAAGCTAGGACCTGGGAGGGAAAGAATAAAAAATAATAGTAAAAAGAACAAAAGTATTAATAATAATAGTAGTTTTAAAACAGACAAATACAAGTGAACTGAACTCCAGAAAAAAGAAAGAGAAAAAGGAAAACAAAGAGAAAGAAAATATGAGTGGAGGACAGGCCAGGGCACCTAGGCTCCATCTGAGCACACAGACTAGGATGGAGTTCCTGCGGGCCCAGAAGGTAGGTGGGAGTGGGGGATCGCCACTCCGCCATTCACCAAGTGGGTGTGGGGTATAAGAGTAAGAAGAGGAACATCGCACCTTTTCAGTTGTGCAGGTCTGGAGTGTCCTTGGGGTTACTGGCAAGTAGAACCTGTTCTTAAGCCCCTGGAATCTGGGAGAGTGCTTTCTCTTTAAATATCCAAAATGGTCAAGCCACTTGTAAACATCCAAAATGGCAGCACTCTCTGGACAGGCAAAAGTCCACAGCTCAGCCCGTCTTCCTCTGCCGCTGCTTCACCTTTTTCTCCAGCCACCAGAGCAGTCCTCCATGCAGTTCCTGGCTAGCAGGGTTGATTTTTAGGTTAATTCTTAGGTCATACCCCCACCCACCAGCCATTCCTCGGAAGGAAGATGGGCAGTCTACTTCCGTAGTGATACTGCCTCGGAAACCCAAGGAGGGGTCTCTATGAGTCGGGCCCGACTCGATGGCACAACAATAACCACAACCACCACTCAGCACTCTCCAAGCTGTCTGTTCCATGCCATCAAGCTTGCTCAGGATTGCTGCCAGACCGCAGCTCCATATGTCTCCTTTTTTGGTATTTTCATGCAAATTCTTCTGCTAGTTGGGGTTTAGTCCACTTCTGTATCTTCCCTTCAAGGCTCAGGGGCCCAGGATTTTCTTCTGTGTCTGTGTTAATTGGTTCCCCTTTTCTTTGTTGAAGAGGGTCTGTGCAGTCTTTCTGCCTATTCTGCCATCTTGGAATACTCCCTGGTCAGATTTTTATAGTATTTATAGTGTCTATCTCTTAAAGTATGGGGCATGTCTATTAATTATAGGCTGTATCACTATATGCATTTAGTTTTGCAGCCCTGGGATACATCTCTTTGAGATAGTCAGTTGGAGATAGTCAGTTTGGTCTCCAAAATTGCAAAATAAAGACAGGTGTGTGATCTGTTATTTGGAAGAACCTGTTACATAAATTAAAGAGTGATTTCAAGTATGGCTTTGCATTTTAAAGTCCCAAGACCACTCTCTTAATTTCAGGTGTGGAATTTTTTTTTTTTTTTCACTTTTAAGCTCCTTTTCACCTAAAACATTCCATGCCACTTGCTTAGGGGCACACCTACAAGGATTCATTTTTTTCAGAAGGCTGGCAGTTCAAACCCACCAGCCACTCCTTGGAAGGAAGGTTGGGCAATCTACTTCAGTAGAGATACTACCTCAGAAACCCAAGGAGGGGTTGCTATGAGCTGGAACCGATTCACTGGCAGTGAGTTTGGTTTAGGTTTAATGATTCTCCTATGCAATGGAGGCAATCCCAGGTAGTTAGAAAAGTAATCTGTAGTATGTGGGAGTTTAGAGAGAGAGGGTATACACTGTGAGCGCAGCTCTGTGCTAGGTAATGAGATGTGTATGAAAAGTAATTAGACATAGTGTCTGCCCTGAATAGGACTTACTCTACTGGGTGAAATGGACTTTCACACAAAGAATAAAAGCAAAGGAATGGAGAGGACAAGGAGGGAGGAGCACCGAATACCTGAGTTTCAGGTGTGGAATGGCTAGCCTCCGGAAACCATTGGAACAGCTGAAACTTTTACCCATGAGGAGTTTATTTTTATATTAGTTAATGTGATATGGAATACATTTTCCTTTTTTTCCCAAGCTGCTATATTTGTTGTTATTGTTATGTGCCGTCAAGTTGGACCCGACTCATAGCGACCCCTCCTTGTGTTTCCAAGGCAGTATCACTACGGAAGTAGATCGCCCCATCTTCCTTCCCAACCAGCCTTCTGGTTAGCCATAAAGTGCTTTAGGCACTATGCTACCAGAGCTCCCAAGCAGCTATATAGTTGTTCTTATTTATATTTCAGTTTGCTTCTCCAGCTCCCATTCTATTCTGTTTCCATTGATTCTTATTAAACTCAGTACTTCACATTAAGAAGACCATAATGTATATATTTTTAAGTATCTGACAAGTGGAATTCTTTCCCAATACATTGCTTTGTCTCTTCTTATCAACCAGCTTTTCTGAGTGAAAATTAGGATCACTTGATGAGGATCCTCCAAAATTCTGTTATAACTAACTATACTGGATATAGCAGGCAAATAGAAATTGATTTCTAGATAATTAATTTCTAGATATTTAAATTTTATGTTAAATTTAAAATAACATGGATAATTTATAGTTAATTATAGATTGTATATTTATAATATACGTTTTGGAAGATGTACAGCCAGAATGCTTTTTAGATGCAAGAATGGCAAGACTTTGTCTCATGTACTTTGGACTTGTTATCTATGAGGAGGAACTAGTCCCTTAAGAAGGACATAATGCTTGATAAAATGAGGATCAGTGAAAAAGATGAAGACTCTCAATAATATGGATTGACACAGTGGCTGCAACAATGGGCTCAAACATAGCAACACCTGTGAGCATCCTGCAGTATTGGGCAGTGTTTCATTTTGTTGTACAAGAGGTCACTAAGAGTCAGATCCAACCCATGGCACCTAACAATAACCAGAAATAAACAATTGCTCAGTAAGTAACACGTTGCATCCACACTTAAACTTTGTATTTGCAAACTTTATGGCTCAAGAAAAGTACAAGCATAATTATTTCAAGTTTAATGTCAATTAGCTGATGTTCTGAAGTTGCTCATTCAACTTGTGCTGTGGGGCAGGGAGCTGGGTAAGGAAACTGTTCTGTAGATTTTTAGAGTATGCTACATGGGCCTGATGGTTCGTTTCTCCTCTGGATATCCTGGATCTCTCTTTGCATTTTCTTGCTCTCATTTTCAAATCCTTCCTTGAGAAATTTTTCCTGCTCCTAAAAAGAGAGAATAGGGTCTGAAACTCACACAACATAAAACTTGTCCCATAATTGACAAATTAGTTCCCCTTTCAGAACTTACATTAAACCCTCAGTAGCTTTTGACACTCATTCTTGACAACCTTTCCTCCCTTAACTTCTATGATATCACTCTCCTGAGTCTTCTAGTCTTTCTCTGCCAATAATTTTTATGGGTCTTCTGCACTAGCTTCAGAAATGTTCTTGTCTGATGGTTTCTCAAATATTGGTGCTCTAGAATTCCATTCTTGGACTCCTTTAGTCCTATTCAACATGATCTTTCTAGAAAAACTAATTTTTTTTTTTTTTTTTGCTTCAACTTTCATCTATATAGTGTAGAGTTTAGGAAGGTAAGAAAGATGGGTGAAATCTAAAGGAAAAGTTACTAAATGACCTTCACAACTGGAGGAAATTCTAATCAAAGAATCAAGTACAGTCTCCACAATTTTGGTGGCAGAAGTAATAGAAGAGTGTTTATGAGATCAAGGCCTACAATGGCAATTCTGGACTGTATCCAAACTCAACCTAGAATCAGAGTAGGACCTCAAGACCAGAAAGATAAGGGCAGACTGAGCATTTAACCAGTGTGAATAAGTAGGTAGATAGTAAAGGGGTCTTCCTATTCATCAGGGTACATACTGAGATAAAGTCCTACCAGATGGCAGAAACAAAATCACTGTGGGCTCCACTGAATAGGAAAGATGAGCAGATAATTTCCCAGGGGGTAGGACCCAAAAAAAGTTACTTGTCTAACATGAAATTATAATTTCTTCACTTGAAAAATGAAACTATTATAGCTCATGTGCCATTTTATGAGGAATTAATCACAGAATGCCTAACAATTAATAGCTACAGTTTTTAGTGTTATAACAAAGAAGGAATTTTACCCTGCAAAATTGTGAAAAAAAAGTTTTGCACTGGACAGCCAAAGGACAGATGAATATACATATGGGATGATAAAAAATCTCATAGAAGTAAGAACTTTACTTGTTATTTTTTTCTCTATATTCTTTCTCTGTAATCAGAGATAGGTGTGGACAGAAATACAAAGGAAACACAAATGCAGTAGGACTTCTAGGCTGGAAAGGTTTTTTTCATGGGTATCATGTTAACCCCTACACTATGTTTTTGATTCAACAGTGGAAGAGAAAATTTAGATGTGACAATTGTGTACCCGAAGTTTCAGAGCAATGGTTCTTTCTTGCTCTTTCAGCAGCTGGGCCCTGTCCCTCTCCACCTTCTCAGTCAGTTGTCTCACATGTTCCTGATAACTTCTTTCTTTCTGTTCCATCATTTGCTCATTCTTCCTTTGGAGTTCCTCCAGCATTTTGTTTGCAGCCTCTGCAGCTTCAGCCTTTGCACGTTCCACTGAAGAGGAAAAAGAAGCAGGGAAATATGAAAATTGAATTTTTATCCCTTTCATCCTTTTTTAGATTTTGGTTATCCTTAGGTCATAGAGAAAACTTCTTGTGGAATTTTTTTGCTCTGGATAACCAGAAGATAGGTGACCATATACACAGGGTGAGAAAGAAATCCCAAAGAGTAAGAACAATACTTGCTATTCCATCTTTAGAAGTCCCTGGTTGGCGATTTGAACTCACCCAGTGGCTCTTTGGGAGAACGGCCTAGTGATTTGCTTTGGAAAGTTCACAGCCTTGAGAACCCTACAGCGTAGTTCTCCTCTGCACACGTGTGGTCATCATGAGTTTTAACTGATTCAGTGGCAAACAACATTCGTTCTCTACATTGATGATTCCAGGTGGACCAACATAGCTAACCTACACTTGTTGGGCTTTCCATCTACCTAGAATGTTTTCAGGAGCTCTGGTAGCATAGTGCCTAAAGGCATTTGACTGCTAACCAGAAGGCTGGTGGTTCAAACCCACCAGCCACTCCTCAGAAGAAAGATTGGGCAATCTACTTCCATAATGATACCACCTCAGGGTCGCTATGAGTTGGGTCCAACTTGACAGCACATAACAACAGAATGTTTTCAGCTTGTCCTCACCTTCGATCTCTTTTTCCTTTTCTGTGAGTGATTGATCAGTCTTGAGAAGTGTATCAGCCACTTCTTCTTTCATTTCCAAGTACTTCTTTAGTTCCTCTTCTGCCTAGTGACACAGAGGAAATTAGAATTGGAGCATGGAGCCTATAGGTTAAAGCAAATGTCTTCAATACGTCTTTCCATTCACTTTAATCTCACCACCTATGTGACAACTAATTCTAGAATTTGAATAGCCTTTCAAACTTAACATCTAAAAGTCACCTCTGGATCCCCCTCCAACCCACTCCTTTTTAAATCATCTAATTTTAGTAATTAGTAACTCTGTTCTTCCAACCATGTGGGTTAAAAGGCTGACAGTCATCCTTGGTAACTTTTTCTCACACATCCCACTCCCACAACTAGTCATCAACCAATCCTGATGGCTTAAGTTTTAAAATATAACCAGAACTCATCACTTGTCACCTGCTTCACAAAATGCCTTACTTCAAGGCATCATCATTTCTTGCCTGGACAGTTCAATCAGCTTCATCACAGGTCTCCCTGCTTTCACTCTTGCTCTCCTATAATCTATTCTACACAGAACATACGTAGTTGTTCTATATTATTTTAGGGAGCTTTGGTAGCATAGTGCCTAAGGCACTTGACTGCTAACCAGAAGGCTGGTGGTTCAAACCCACTAGCCACTCCTCAGAAGGAAGATGGGGCAATCTACTTCCGTAGTGATACTGCCTTAGAAACCCAAGGAGGGGTTGGGTCTAACTTAATGGCACGTCACAACAGCAACAACAACATATTATTTATGTCAGTGCCATCACTCTTGTGCTCCAAACCGTCTATTGACTTTCCAAAATTCAAACTTCTTTCAGTGCCCTCAAAGCACTGCCTTGTCTGCCCCCTGTCCATTTCTCTGACCTTATCTCCTGCCACCTTTCTTTATCTACAACTTTCCTGTCACATAAGCTTTCTTGCTTTTCTTAGAATATATGCTAGTTTCTTCTTCTGGACCATTTACTTTGTTGTTCTATTTGTTTGAAAGTTTCTTCCCCTAGATAGCTGTTCGGATCACTCACTCCATAACTTCTATGAAGATTCTGCTGAAATGTTACTCCACCAGGCAATGCCTTCTCTAGGAAACCACATAAGAATGTCACTACATTTCCTTCCTCTTTCACACCTTTATTCTGCTTCATTTCTTTTTAAAGTACTTTTTCTCACTGTGCTGCAACTTGAAAACTGCTCAGCATATAAATAGATATGAATCAAGAATTGTTGAATGATTGGATGAATAAATGAATGAATGAATTCTACCATTTCTGAGTATTCAATCTGTGTTTCCAAGGATGAACCCTCTATTTGGCCCAAAATAGTCTTTAATTGAATGAATCAGTGAATGGATGAATAAAAGGCAGAGACACTGTCATTTTACTTGTTTCCTCTGGTGTTTAAAAGAGTCACCAAAGCAACTCCCCAAAAACAGTACCACTAGATTATTTACCTGCACCCCCTTTCTGGGTATCTCATTGTACTTATTCTTCAGTTTCCGTTTCTTTTGAATAAAGATATGATAGCCCCCTGCTTTAGAAAATAGCCCTTGCTTCACATCATCTTCTAGAGGCTCAAAAATTTCTTGAAGTAAAACTTTGCAATAATCTGTGGATGCTTGTACATTCTGTTTACAATAATCCTCTTGCTTTGCTTGTAATTTGTCCTGTGAGAAAGTAGCACAGATGGTAAAGTAAACAATGAGGAAGATGTTGACCACACATAAACTGTTGGGAAATGTTTCTCTAGCATGGACTGTGGCATCTAAACAGGTCCACATCCCTCACTTTGTCATGAGATCCTAGACCAGCCTGAAGTGTACTTGGTAGAAAAAATATTTTTCTTTGTGTGTGATTTCCTGAAGCTTCTTTACCCTAGCTTTCCTGCTTCAGAGAATGATTCTCAAACACAGACATTATTTCATATAAAACTTTTCTTTTCAGGTCTCTGATTTCAATATTAGTTAAGTATACAAAGTTGGAATCAGGCAGGTCTGTGTGGAGTTCTTGATTCAAATGCTGTGATTTTGTGCCACTCATCATTTGTGAACTAAGGTTTTTTTGTGTGTGTGTGTGTAAAATGGGAATGGAACTTTTCTTCTGGAACTTTTGGTGGTGTAATATCTACTTCAAAGATTTCTTGTGTGAGTTACAGTGATGCAAAGTATTAAGCTCCGTGCCTTTTCTATAAG